CTTGCCTTGTCATTCAGAGCAATCTTGTCGTTCTTCAGACGGCTGACTTCCTGATTAGCTGTGTCGAGAGCAGCCTTCAGTCTGGAGTTCTCCTGTTCAAGAGTACCGACTGAAGCCAGCTTTTCTTCAACAAACTTCATTTTGTTCAAGGCCTCCTTCTGCGCTTCCGCAAGATCTTGATCCTTCTTGTTCAGAGCTTCTTCCAGCTTATCTGCGGCACGTTGAGTGAAATCAACATCAAGAATGGACAAGAAAGAAAAGTCACTCGTCAAGAATGGAGAACCTCACCAGCCATACCTTGTGCTTCCTCTCGCGCCTTCTTCAAGTTCTCTTGAGCAAGCTTCAAGTCAAGGTTGAGCTGGATCTGCTTATTCTCCAACTCAGTATAGCGAGCTACAAGTTCGCAGGATTTCTGCAAAAAATCAGTCAACGGACATCCAAGATAAGTTGCTTCCGAGTAACTAAGAGGCAAAGATGGCGTTTCTAAGACTACAGCCGAATAAAAAATATTCGACAGTAGTCTCGGGGACTACACCCAGTGGGGGCACTCAGCGTGCCCCCACTGTTTTTCAAAAAAAAAAGTCGACTGTCCGCAGTCGACCGGATACAGTTCCACTCGACATGGCTTGACCAGACCGAGTGAAGAAGTACAACTACAGCAATACAGTATAAAGACTACAGTCGACTGCCAGCAGTCCACCGTAGTCTCAGGGACTACACCCAGTGGGTGCACTTAGCGTGCCCCCACTCGTCCAAAAATTGGCAGATACACACCCAGTGGGTGTACAGATATAAAGATCTTCGGAAAAGAGGTTCTTCAAACAGCATATCGTAACAGACCAAGTGTTGAGTCGACTAACCTGGACGTTGCTCTAAAGAGCCGAACTCGTGTCATAAGCTGCTTGGCTGGCTTCCCGAGCCACCTTCACTTGCTCCATCATGATCCCCGCCTGGCGTATAGCCTCTTTTGAGGCGCCCACTTGGTCCTCAGGGACGGGGTATGCGGCAAAAAGCGAAGGTGGATTCGTAGTCGACGCTGAAGGCCGCATGCTCGTCAGAGGAACAGCGAAAGTCACGGAAGCCCGAGTGGTGTCACCACCATCCTGAGCTACGGCCTCAGACGCTGGAGCAGATTGGGGGGTCTTGCCGGCCAACGCCCGCCTGTTCCTTCTCACTCTCAGTGGCACGTCGTCGTCATCATCCGGGAGGTTAATAACATGAGGAGGAGCTACAAGAAAAATCAATCGACCAGAGTTACAATAAATATCCAGTCGACTCAAGGAAGAACATCAGTAATCATACCAGGGTTGGAAGTAACAGCATCCTCCATCTCTCGATCGTCGTCCTTGGCGGAGAGCTCAGAAGTAGCAGCACTGCAAATTTTGAAAGTCAGTCAGTTGGCTCAATGAATCGACCAAGGATCTGTCCACGGTCGACAAAGGAAAACCAGTTCTATTATTACCCAGAAATGATGGGGACGGTCATCCTCATCTTGGGCAGGGTCTTGGGCGGCTTGGACGGCGTCGCACGTGGGTGCTTGGGAGCCTTTTCAGTCGGCGGAGGAGAAGAGGTCCGAGAGCGTTTCGATGACTGCCCGACAGGAGCAGTCACCTTACCACGTTCCCGCGCTGGATCATGTGTGAGCTTGGATCGCCTCTCCGAGCGGGGGGGTTCAACTTCCTCCTCCTCCTCTTCGTTGGAGTCGACGTCGTCGTCTCCCTCTCCTTCGCCGTCGGATTCCCACTCGCCTTGTTCGTCTCCGCTTTCGCCTCCGCTCGCCTCCCCTTCCTCAGTCGGCTCCTGTGCCCCGTTGGGTGTCGAGTACATCTAAGTAGTTGCCTGGAAAATAACAGACAAGACAAAGGTCAATCGACCAATTCAAAGAAGACCAATGGAGAAAGCAAGATCTCAGTCAGGAACATAAGGTCAGACCTGATCCACTTCATATGTGTTGTCGAGTGGAGGAACCCTCCTGGCTCCTCGGGGGTTGTCTTTGTTCCCTATGATGCTCGACAGCCACCCTTCCAGCATCTCATCAGTGACCTCCTCCGGGTGAATCCGAGTGGTGTCTTCAAGACCCGAGTACAGCCACATCGGGTGGTCACGAGCCTGAAGCGGCTGGATGCGCCTCCGAAGGAAGACCTCCAGCAAGTCCATGCCGGTCACGCCCTCGCGGACAAGCTGAACCACTCGACCAACCAACACTTTGACTTGCGCCTTTTCTTCCGGCGCCACTTTCAGAGAAGCAGGTTTTTGAGCTCGGTCTAGAGAGAAAGGGGGAAGCCCAGTCGACTGTCCTGGGGTCGCCTGGTCTTGACAGTAAAACCAGGTCGACTACCAACCACGGACCGACTCAGGGAAAGTGATAGATGGAAAGGAACTTTTTCCCCTCGTCTAGATCGCCAGTCCCCCGCACAACTGGATCACCTGCGTCCTTTCATCACTCGACTTGGCCTTCTTGACTGACTGGGAGCGGCAAGTGAAGATGTGCTTAAAGAGTCCCCAATGGGGGCGACAACCCAAGAAACCCTCACACAAGGAAACGAAAGCAGCAAGGTACACGATGGAATTGGGAGTGAAGTGATGGAGCTGCGCTCCGAAGAAATTCAGAAAAGTCCGGAAAAAAGGATGAGGAGGCAGAGAAAACCTGCGATCGATATGAGTGGCGAGGAGGACGCACTCACCGTCGAGAGGCTGGGGTTCGACTTCTCCCCCCGGGAGACGCGCAACTTCGTGAGGAATGACTCCCCCCTCGACCATATCATCAAGATCTTCTTGCCGAATCACCGACGGCATCTAGTCGCCCTGGATCCAGCCCTTGGGCAGAGCAGTCCTTGAGGAAGATCCGCCCCAAGCGGACTTCTTCCCTTTCCCCTGCGCCGCCGCCTTCTTCGCGCGCTCCAGAGCGGACGTCTTGTCCTTCGCCATCATCGCCGGCGAAGCTCGAACGGGCCTGCGGTGCTAGGGTGAGAGCGGAGATGGCGGAGGACCTTGCGAAGGGAGAAGGAAAAGAGAGAGCACACTATTTGGGAGCCCCGAGCCGGCGGCTTATAAGAGGCCGCTTCCGAGTGGCTGACTGGTAGGCCCAGGCTATCCCGTCAAATCCCGCAGCAGACGCGCGCGCAGTACGTGGCGAAAAGGGTGGCGCGGAAATCGAGGAGCTTCCGCCTTATCACATCCGATTACTGCGGCCGCTCCCATCCCGCGCGCTTCCCGAAGTTCAAATCCCGCGAAATCCGCGGGTTGCAGAACAATTCGTTAGACAGAAGATCCCTTTCACACCATCATTCGGAACTTCACAGGCAAGGAAATTCACTCGACGAAAGGCCTGGAATGGATCAAGGCGACTGAAAGAGGTTGACGACGTCATCCGTGACGATTGATCCAAAACAAGGCACTCATGTAGCACAAAGAACCAGTCGGAAAGATCCTCAACTCTTTCCCCACTCTAACCTCGATCCATTCGGGGGCTAATGATGAAGCTATGTACCTAGGGTAGGGGCACGGACCTGTCCTAAGAGCCCTACCCAAGGACATCCTTACAAGAAGTCACCTTTCAATCGACTTGAAGGTACCCACTCGACGGGTTTAAGACACTCGACCAAGAAGCTATCACTCGACCACGAAGCCAACCACTCGACTGCCAGGAGACCTAAAGTCACTCCGCAGGCAAACAGTCGGTCATTAAGTAGCCTTTATGGTCATCATAGCACTTTATTAGGGACGTTACCAGTAACGCCCAGCCTTAATGTACTTTAAACTCTGCATTACTGAGGGCAGGGGAGGGCTGGCGAACTCTATATAAGCCGCCCCCTCCTCAGTATCAAGGGTTCGCACCCCTGTCATTCTCACACATATAATCCAGTTGACCGCCTCCGGGCACCGAGACGTAGGGCTTTATTTCCTCCGAGAAGGGCCTGAACTCGTACATCTTTGTGTGCTTACAGCTTCTACATAGCTAAGATCTAGCCTCTCCATACTCACCCCCCTACATCACTGTCAGACTTAGAACCACGACACGGGGCAACGGTTTATATAGCAGTGGGGGCGACAGAGGAACGGACGGGTGGCGCCGAAGGAGACAAGTCGGCAACCGCGTGTCATCAATGTGGGTGGCAGACGGACGAACGGGCGGCCGCCGTGTCGTTTGAACGCGCCGCAGTCGCTTGCACCGCGAAGCGGCGCAGGTGGCGTTCTCTCAGTCGACGCATCGCTTCAATGCCAACGCCAATGAGCGGTCGCGTTCGCTGTGGCCGGACATGAATGTGGGCAATGACGCTTAGCAGCGGCACTGGCCGTTTCGGGCGGTCTAGACTCCCGCAAAGCCCCCACCTCCCGCGTTTGAATCCGGCTTGCGAGAGAAATCGCGTCCGGGCCGCCCTAGGGACCGATACAGGATTGTGTTTGATGGCTTCCACGGTCCGGACGTATGCAGGAGGTTTGCGGGTCGGTGTTGGAGATGGCCTAATACGTCCAGTTGCAACAATTGCTGATAAGTTACTGTTTCATTTTTTATCCATTTGACAGGGTACAGTACTGTACCATTGCGTTAGGGAGCGGTTTCATAATTTGGGCGGTGACTGTCGATTGGATCAATTAACTTAACTCTTTTTTTATATCTGATAGTACGAGTACTACTTTGGATGCGCTTCCTCTACTTGTAATCTTAAATTTTCATCTTGCGCGGAAGCCAAGTGGACGACGGAACTAATGCATGTGCGGTGTACTTCTAGATTTGATATCCGAGGTATGGATCGTATATCTCTACGAAGTCTCCTATGATGAGTCAGCAGTGTGCGTGCGTTCTGACATGATGCATGTGAGGAGCAGAGAGGTCCTGCAAGCTGTCTACTCGCAGTACCAGACTCTAAATCGAAGACTTGTGGGGCTATAAAAGTGGAGTCAGATCCGGAGCATTAACGACTGTCATGGGTGCAAGAGGGAAGTGATCAGTTCTAGATCCACCGTTTCCAATCTTGCAGCAACCTGGTAGTGATAGAATGGAGGGCGCGGCCCAGACCCTTGTGAGCAATGTTGGGAATCTGGTGGGTGAGGAGTTTCGGCAACTCCGCGCTGTTGATGGCCAAGTCGCTGAGTTGAGGGACGAGCTTGCCGCCATGAAGGCCATCCTCCGCATGCACTCTGAAGCCGACGTGGACGGTGCCATTGACCATTTCCTCCGGGAGTGGATGAAGCAAGTGTGCGAGCTCTCCTACGACGCCGAGGATTGCGTTCACCTCTACATCTTCCGCATCAGGTTCTCTTTTCTTTTCTCTTTTTTGTCATCGGGGTAATGGAAACCGGCCGGGGTTCTGACTGCAAAACATATATAAACAAAATTGCTCCGCACCAGGTGCAGGCGGGGCCTCGGATTTCTTGTTTGGCCCAAACGCCAGATCATGACCATTGTCTCTCGCCATCGCCTTGCTGGAGACATCAAGGCCCTCCATGCCCGTGCCGTCGCCATCAGCGAGCGTCATGTCCGCTACGGCGTCAGCCGCGACGCGCTGCGCAGCTCACCTTCTTTTGCTGCCTCCGTGCCGGCGGCAGCGGCGACGTCTGAGTATGCGCTGCGCCCTGCCGACAGCCCTGACCAGTTCGTCGGCATCAGCAAGCAGGTGGAGACCCTGGCCAACAATCTGAAAGCGACGGAAGACGAAGCGCGTGACATGAAGCTCACTGTGTTCTCTGTCGTGGGCTTTGGAGGTCTCGGGAAAACTACGGTGGCGATGGAGGTATGCCGGCAGCTAGAGGCGGATTTCCAACGCCAGGCCAAAGTTTCTGTGTCCCAGGCCTTCGACAGCAAGAAGGACCTCAAGAAACTGTTGAAGGATGTGCTTCTCCAGATCGCCAAGGTGAAAACAAAAGAGGATGAGAATAGCATCAGGGAGGAACAACACGGATCCCTGGCTGGCATCGACACATCCAACGTGGACCAACTGGCTGCTACACTCAAGAAAACTCTCAAGGACAAAAGGTATCCGTCTTGTTTATTATGTTTTGTTTAAATAGTCGGTGCGCTCATGTTTCTTGAAGACGACTAAGCATTGACGTGACAGTAGTTATTAGTAGTACTCCCTCTGCTCCTTTTTAGTCTGCATACAAGTTTTGTCCGAAACCAAAGTGTCTCTATTTTGACCAAACTTATAAAAAAAATATCAACATTTACAGTGCCAAATCAATATTATTATATTCATGATGAATGTAGTTTCACAAAATATATATTTGGTATTGTAGTTGTTGATATTTTTAATATATATTTAGTCAAACTTTGCAAAGTTTCATTTGATCCAAATCTAATACGTGAAGTAAAAAGGACCGGAGAAAGTGCATAATAAGTCATCTGTAGTTGCTGCCGGCGGCCTAGAGGAATTTGTAGCTTTCATTTGATGCCTGATTGCGCGAGATAGAAAATAATTCAGGGACGGTCCTACGGCAATATAGACTGCGAGATATAAGGCTTTTAGCCAATTATCCACGTCGTCCTTTTTTGCCGTTCGAATTATAAGATCACTCCACCCGCTATGTAGTCACACAACTAAATCATGTGCATGTGAAACACCAGATTTAGTCAACTAATTAGGGGGGAACTTACTACTTTTAACTGTAACTAATGTTAGTCGATCTCAACGATATAAGCTATCCGCACCACTTACTCTTTTAGCCAACTAATTGTCCATGTCATCACACTAATATTCATTACTTATAGTCTATTTTTTGCGAGAAAACTTTTGATCTATTCATCTTTTGTTATGGCAATACAACGAACACCAGAAATAATAAAAATTACACCCAGATTCATAGACCACCCAACGACGACTATTAGCATTGAAACGAGCTGAAGGCACGCCGCCGTCATCGCCCCTCCATCGTCGGAGTCGGACACAACTTGTTGTAATAAACAGTCGGGAAGTCTATTTGTACATGTAAGTGTCCACATTATCTTTTCTTTTAGCCATCAAATTGTCCATGTCATCCATCTTTGGCCGTTCGAATTATAAGATAACTCCACCGGCTATGTAATTACACAACTAAATCATGTGCATGCGGTACACTGGATTTAGTTTCGCCAATCGTGTGAAATTTTTGCCAGTTATTTTCAATGATGAAAATCATATAACTAGTATTCGAGATTATGTGCTCTTCTATATGTAACATGTCCAAAATATTATGGAAACATTATGCGTCAATGTGCATGTCATCTTCATGCAAGCCATCTACATAATCTGTTCTTCCACCCGTTGTTTTCACCTTGTGTAAATCAATTAGTTACACCCATGAAACATAACAACCGTTAAATATAAAATACACATACACTTTACGTCCATTAAATTACCCTCTCGACTGCTATGATCAACTAAATCATTAATATTTCTGTAGTCAACTTCAAATTCTATGCATTTTATTAGATTTCTTAAGAGATACCCGCTGCAAATCGTGGGGTATTGTTCTAGTTTTATTGACAGTTCAGTAGTACTTACGGATCATAGGTAGGGGCAGTAAACAGCGAGAATAGATAAAATGGCATAACAGCCGAACTGGTGTCTATTTAAATACAAAACTTCATAAAGGCATAATTCCAAAATCAGGGTCAGCCAAATGGGTCGAAAATAGGTGTAGATGCAGATTTAAAAGGTACCAATAGTTCAGTGTTGAAATTGGGACTCATGCAAGATTTCGCATATATAAAGGATTTTCATTCTAGAATAGAAAGGAAAACCTAAAGAGATAATATGAATAATAGAATTAGGATGGTATCTTGCTAACAAATATAATGCCATTATGCAGCACTAGATTAGCTAATTTAATGAAATTGTGAGACAATTATTAGAAAAATACAAACGTTTAATTCACATGATCATTTTACAAAAACCCCACGACAATGTTTGACCTTACAAATGTCCTATAATCTTTTGTCATTGCTTTTAGTTATCTCCACCAGATTTTCAAAATAGAGTGACATTGAGTTTAGGTTATGTAGGTGTATAATCTTTAGTTATTGTAGTCGGAAAGCATGTAAGAAACGACAGACATATATAATGTGCACCAACTCTTAGATCAATAGACCATATGGCTAAAATATTTAAAAATAGACACTTCAATGCACGCCATTACTAAGACAAGATAGTTAACATGTAAATGGATGGATTGATTTTAAGTAAAAACAAAAAATATTTAGGATATATTTGCTAATATATTTTTATTTTTTGGTATTATTCAAATTGAAGTTCTGCTTTAAATAGATCCCAAATAAAAAAAAGAAAAAACTCAGGTATACATACATATTTGTTGGGCCTAACCAACAAGTGCTCACCGCAATTAATACATACTAGGTTAATATTCGTGCGTTGCTATGGTGGATTTTTCAAAAAGGAGAATATATTAATATCTAGAAGATAGCAACACCCAGCCTCTGCACCAACAAGAAGTCACAAGGACATCCAGGATGCACACAACCCGAAAACAATACAAAAAGAAAGTAAAAGAAAATCCAAAGGCCTCGCCACAGTGATCGACTCCTCTCATTAGCAGCACACAAACCACCACCGAAGGCAACACCCGGAAAACATAGAAGGTCTCCTAAAGTGACGCCTTCAAGAAGAAAACAGTGCACTAGCACCGTCGTCGCCCGATCCAAGATCTTAGGTTTTCACTCTGGAGAAAGTCTGAACTCACAAAACAGTACCTTCAATAAGGCAATTGTCAGGCACAACCAACGAAGGCCAGACCTTAGGTTTTCACCCTGAAAGTCCCGACTAGGCACCCAAGGAGCGCCACCGATAATGAAATCCTCCAGTGCTGCCGCCCCACTTATCACTGCTGCTTCTGAAAATTATCAAACACCTGGCTGACTCCATCGCCTTCAAGGCCCCCTCCGCCTTACTGATCCTCCGATCTTAGCCATTATGACTTTCTCCATTGTTGTCTATGCCATGAAAATCGAGATGCCGACATGTCCCATGGTTTCAACAAACAACAAAGCTTCGCGTCGCGTCCTCATGGAGCCATGTAGGCCGATATAGACGCGCACGACTGGAAATTATCCGTTCCAGATATCCTTGGGTACGGTGGATATGAGAGTGGTTCTTCTACACCCACTCTCGGTGCACCCACGCAAAAAAAAATATCAAAACATTTTGAAAAAATCTGAAACTTTCTGGAAATGATCATCAACAAATGTTAGAGAGGCTTGCAAAATTTGGTGGTCAAATAATATTCGAGAAGCTCTCTACAAAAAAGACAAATTCACTGAAAATTAGTCAAAATGTAAGTGCACTGTTTGAGCAGATTTTGTAATTTTGTCTTTTTGTAGAGAGCTTCTCGAATGTTATTTGACCACCAAACTTTGCAAGCCCTCATAACATTTGTTTATGATCATTCCCATAAAGTTTCAGAATTTTTTGAATTTTTTTGAATTTTTTTGCTATGTTTTCTTGCATGGGTGCGCTGTGGGTGCACCGAAGGTGGCACTAGTAGAAAACAGGGCTTTCGTCACGGCCGGATCGGAGCAATAGTCCTGGTTGCGTTATGAAAGCAGGACTAATGTGAGCATTAGTCCCGGTTCGAGCGGCTAGGGCATCGGGAAGGCACTAGTCCCGGTTCAAATGAGACCTTTAGTCCCGGTTTGAGACACGAACCAGTTCAGTTTTGAAAAAAAAAGAAAATGATAAAAACTTCAAAAAAATAAAATCCTTCGAGATGTAGTTATATTACTACATCTACTAGTTAGGAAAATTTAAAAGACTTTAATTTGGACATGTTTTGCAAAAGGTGTTATGAAAAAGTAAAACCGATATAACTTTTGCATACGATGTCGGAAAAAACGTATAATATATCAAAATGTTCAGCACGAAAATCCGCATACGATTTTGACCACCATAGGCTGTTTTGCAAATTTTTAGAATCTTCAAATTCTAAAAGGAAAAAAAGTTATGCTCAAATTTCAGGTTTTTTGAATTTTGGGTCAATTTGGTCAAACTTTGGTCAAACTACTTGTTCAAGAAGTATTAGTGTTACTAAATAATTATTCAAGAATATTAGTGTTACTAAATAATTATTTCAGTTTTTTGGAATTTTGGTCAAACGGTGGTCAAACTGTGGTCAAACTATGGTCAAACTACTTATTCAAGAAATAATAGTGTTACTAAATAATTATTGTTTTTTAGAATAATTGTTTCAAACTCAAATAGTGAAACGTGTGACTTCATGCTCAAGCTAAACTCCCGAGGGTTAATAGGATTGACATGTTACTACTGTCAGGAAAACAACAAGTGCAGACTTGGAGACTAGGGGGAATATAACTCGGAAGTTAAGCGTGCTCAGGCTGGAGTAGTGACAGGATGGGTGACCGGCCGGGAAGTTAGACGATTTGGAATGATGGGGGGTGATTAGAGAATAGAGATTATAGATTAAATTGAGCAGTGATGAGGGGTGATTAGAGATTAAATTGTAAAATAATTCAAAAATTTGAAAATCGGGAAATTTTTTTTTGAAAAATTTCCTTTAGTCTTGGTTGGTGTTACCAACCGGGACAAAAGGTGGTGCTCCAGACAGCGGCCACGTGGAGGGCCTTTAGTCCCAGTTCGTAACAGAACCGGGAGTAAAGGGGGGGCCTTTAGTCCCGGTTCCAGACCGGTTCCAGACCGGGACTAAAGGCCCTCTGGAACCGGGACTATTGGCCCGTTTTCTACTAGTGTGGGTGCAGCCACTACTTTCCCTGATGGATATACAATACTACATGAATACATTGATTGATCGATTCTCTCTCTCTCCCTCTCTATCTCTCTCTAAAAGATTCATCGCTAACCCCCTACAGTAAAGAACAACCCTCGTCGATTGTCTGCACAAAGCCATGGTACCACCACTCTGATACGGCTGTCATATTGCTCATTATGAGTCATGCAACTGCGCTGCCTTGTTGCTAGTCCTTGTGGAACACAATCGGTGCGTCTGGAGCACGTGATTCCGTAAGTTCGCACCTATGATTACTGTGATCAAAATGATCAATGTACCACATTCTTTCCCCAAAATATGCTTGTTGTTTTTCGGCCATATAACGACAAATCGTATTTTTCATCTACTCCTTGATGGGAGAAATAAAACCTTCAATGGTGCCACGTCCCTAAAATTAAGAAGGAAACGTCTCTCTCACCCCATGGTCATGGATATCGTCGTGGTCCGTTTCTTTTCTCCATGTAAAGAAGACATAGCACCTTCGCTTATAACTCTGGCCATTGTTTTCAGTTGTAGCCATAAAGCCATCCCCTCTCTTTCCTCCTCCCAAATTCTAACCCGATGAGTCGTTATAATATACAACAAGCGCTACTCGAAACTAACCTGATCTCCAATCAGTAGTGAAGAATGTGAGTGAAACAAGTTGTTTATTGACCATGTTATTGCATGGAATGTGTAGACGCGCACGCCTCCCCTTTGGCGTGGAGTCGAGATGACGACGTCAATGACTTGCTTCCCGCTAGAATAGAAAGGAAAACCTAAACAGATAAAGTAAATAATAAGAATTAGGATGGTATCTTGCTAACTAATATAATGTCATTATGTCGATTAAATTATCTTAGTTATTGAAATTGTCAGACAATACTTTCTTATAAAGCAAAACCCCACTAACTACAATCAATGCTAGTCTATCTCAACATGTAGCCATACACGTCACTTACTCTTTTAGCCAACCAATTTTCCACATACAATCACACTAATATTCATTACTTATGTTCTATATGTCCATGCAAGTTCGAATGATCAGATCACACCACCCGCTGTGTAATTACACAATTAAATCATGTGCAAGTGGAACACGGGAATTAGTTTTGCCAATCGAGTAAAT